CTGCAAAGCAGCAGGCTGTCATCCTGTCTGCAAGTGAAGCAGTTGGTTGTACTCTGCTAAGGTGAGAACCATACAGACGTAACAGGTTTTCCCCTTCTTTTTCCAAAACTTCAAGTGCTGCTTCTACACACGCTGTGAATATGTCTCTCTAAAGAATCTATTCCGCACTTAAAAGTTAACATTGAATTCAATCTCTAATACGGTTTTGTTGCTATCTTCCTAAAAAAAAAGCACATTTATCCTGAGTATCCATTGGTTGTAGACTGAAATACTCCTTAAAGAGTGAAGAAACTTCTAAAGCATTTTATGTGGGACATGAATTTTTCAGTAGTGCTGGAAGGAGGGATGTTTTCTTTGCTACATGCATATGTCAGCATTGCTTTGTCTAATGTGGCTTGTGAATCAAGGTCAAAAAAAAAAAGAAAAGATGTGCATTCTCTTGGGCAGACAAAATAATTGCTTATTGGTTCTATATCTGGGAAGCTTTTATGGTTAGAAAACCTGTGAGAATTTGTACACATGATGTAAATCTCCCCAATTCCTTCCATGTTATCCTATAATTTATATTCCTTTAGTATTCTATGCCTTTTCCACCTGCTTCAATTTTCAAGTACCATCAGACAACAGCAGAGGAGTCCTCACTCACTACCATGTTTTCGATCAGCAAGGAAATGCTGGTATTAAAATAATTGTAACATAATGATTTTATTATTTTTTTTGTTACTGTTACACACCTGGACAAAGAACTTCATTGGCTTGTTTACAAGACAAATCAACCACATAATGCAGATGTAGAAAAAAGCACATCTAAAAACAGATTATACAGATCAGATCACAAACTAGAGATCAAGTTTCGAGACCCCTTGGAGGGTGTGAAATAATATGGAGCTTTTTGTCTCTTGCAATTTAAACTTCAGTCTATGCTGAAAGATATTGGTATCAACTTAATATTTCACCATGCATTTTAGGAAATCTCAGCCCAAAGTGACATTTTTGCAGTTAAAAGCGACGGGAAACAACTGCAGGTTAAAGTCATAGGGGACCTCAACTACTACAGTACTTGTGATAATGAAGTAAATCATGTTGACCTGTAATCTAAAGCAATTAGCTGTACTTTGAATTCAGTATGAGTGTTTTCCTGAGTGGGGACCAACTGCAGTGCTGTGGTTAGTATAGGCTGATTTTGACTTTACAGATAACTGTCCTTAGCGTAATTTCTGTCCTGTTGGGGAATTCCAACTAGAAAAAAGAATAAACGATTTTGTATTTGCTTATGTATTTATTTAATAAGTGTAATAAATTTATATACACAAAACAGATACCATGTCTTCCTTTCAATCACTAATAGTATTTCCTGAGAGATTTTTGAAACTACATAATCGGAAACCTTTAGATTCAAAAGACTGAGTTAAAGAAAAGATTAGGACTCGATTCTGTTTGCTTTCACGTGTTACATCCAGACTAAACAGTCGCACCGTATCTGGAGACGGAGCCGCCAGACCAAACGCTGCCGAGAAAGCCTCAGAGGAGACGATGCAACAAAGCTCCCCTTAGTGTTCAGAGGACGGTATTTACCTACGCCACAGGACAGCGCAGGCAAGCAGATGGATCATTCCTGCGTATCCAGTGCTGAACATGGCACCTATACAAACTCTGTGGGGCTTGCTGGACGCTTGTATACCCAGCCTTCACGCGCACCTAAGCTGGTAATTGGGGCCAGCTTCGATTACAGTTAAATGAGGTGATCCCTTCTAGAATGATAACTGAGTTGTCCAAAGAAGATTGTTGTTTTCTGTGTTTTTAATAAGTGCCCATTCTGTGCTCTGTCTGTCAGGATATCCAGTCTCTTCAGTGACCTGCCTGGGCTGTGACAGTGGCAGCCCGGACTGCGCGTTCTCAGATAACCTGCCCCTATCTGGTGTGATATATGGAGTAATAATTTGAACAGGAACCTGGAAGGTTGAGTAAAGTTAAGCGTAAAAGAACTTGAAGTACATCGGGGCATAGCTACCCTTTGGATGCTAATTGTATGTGTGTTATACCCAAAACATCTTGAATTACCATAGTCCCAAAATTTTAAAATAATAAGTGGAATAATCGGGAAATATACCTAGAGGATTGGTTATCTGCTTTGAATCGAGCTCCCACTAACTCATGGAAAAGTTGAACACAGGTAGAAGATCCATTGGGTGTGTAAACCTGGACCATTTCCTAAGAAGCATCAGGGAGAGGGCAAGACCAGAGGAGGGACCAGTGCCGCGGCTCAAGAAGGTTTACCAAGGGCTGCAACCCCTCAGGGTAATAACCACCAGGTAATATGGCCTTTACCAGACCTCTTCTAATTACATGCATAATTCTATTGGTCCAGGGGCATTCTCAGAATTGTAGTGAATATATTGTTAACACCCGGAGAGGAAGAATTCAGGAATGAACACTAGTATATCATACTATCTGTGCCTGTAAAGGGGAAGAATTAAACCCATGCTATGTGAACCAGAGTATGCTACATGTAATGAAAGTAATAAGATAACCTGTTATGATCCCAAAGAGGTCCCCTATCAATGGTGGATAGAGGTAAGAACTAATAATGAAGGAGGAAGGTTAATTGGGAAAAGTCACATCACTACAAACCTTAGTAAGCCCTTACCAATCGAATTGGATGTGTGTGATGCTGTTAGTGATAATTATTATACACCCTGTGGAACAATGAGTTGGGTGAAATATTCTAAATATGAGGTGCTGTGCTTAATTCCTTGTATTACACTTTTACAGAAAATAATAATCTAAGGAATGCAGTTTACCACAATCTTGGTGGAAAGTCCTCAAGAAGACAGTCTCTCTTATGGCTGAATTGGCCAAATTCAAAGCCAAGACATGAATTAATGGCATTCAAAAGAAGAAGCGGGATTGTGAAATATGGATTAATACTTCGTATCAAGAAGATGGTTGATATTAATAAAGAAAGGGGTGATGTGGGATTGTGGCCATGGGGGTCAACAAGCCCCATGGTTGGTGATACCATCAGAGTCTTAATGATGAGGCCATCAGGAATGTAAAAGAGTTTAGAGAGCACAAAGAAGGGTGATTCAGGAGACTCCATGCAGTCTTGGGTTGCTTGTTCTCCAGTCATTAAGGCATGGAAGTTGCTGGGTGTTTGCTGGATATTGGGCAAAGTTGCTTGACAAATGAAGAGTTGCTTGAAAAGGACTGCTGTGGGGAGAAGGGTATGAGAGGGGAGCCTGTCCTCGAGATAAAAAAGGCAACAGGATGTAATGAAGTTATGTCATCACTAAAGAAGTAGGAAAAAGGAATGAATAGGGACAGGCTAGCAGAACAGGGACCAGGATGGGAACAGGCACATTGATCGCCTCATGAAGATAGGTTCGGCCAAACTCAGCAAACCGCTCAGAGAAGCTCGTACAGAAAGTCGCTGGAAATTGCACACCAGAGCTGGGAAGAAGCTCAAGCTGAGAGAAGCAACACAACTGCCCTCGCTGGTCAGCAGCTGCGCATTATGGGGAATCATACGTCCTTAGAAACAAAGACCGTCCTGGTAACCTTACAGCTTATTCTCCTTATTAACAATCAGGCAGTTTATGAGCCTGAAATATGGGACCAAATTGAGGTCAAGGTGTGGGACTCTACTACTAAAAATGACAAGGCTGCGGTGGGATTGCTCGGCACCTGGCGAGCAGTCTCTGAGGCCTTAAGGAGCTGTGTGGGGCCACAACCAGAAACGTGTGGTTTGCCAGGCAGTGAGAGAGCTGCGGGCTCGTTTACTGATCCTTCTGCTATGCCATGGGCCCCCCGCCGCTACTTTGCCTCATCGCAGGCCTTTGCTTTTATGCCCACTGGTGACCTGGATGTGCCTTTTGACCCAGGCCCTATTGGCCTGGAAAAGGAGACGGAAATGTTTCCCTTCGATCTGGGAGGAATAGGATATATAGGGCCTGAAGGCCGAGTTGCTTAACAACTTAAAGCAAGACATATTGTTCTCATGACTAGCCCTGGAATTCTCCGGTGTTTGTAATCGAGAAAAGGAGTGGAAAATGGAGGCTGTTACATGGTCTGAGAGAAATTAACAAAGTCATGGAAGATTGGGGAGCACTTCAACCAGGATTACCAACTCCAGCTATGCTCCCCCAGTCATGGACATTAACAGTAATAGGCTTAAAGCATTGTTTGTTAAACAGTTGACTTTTAAAACTTTGCCATGTTTATGTTTCAATTGATACTTTTTCTGATTATACGTATGTATAGGCGTACTTGGGTTTAGTATGTAAAAGCAATGTTCTGTATATTTAGGAAGTTTAATGTTCGTGTGTGTGTGTTGGTAGAGAGTAGATTCCCTGTGCACCCAGCGCTGTTTACTTGCCTTTTATAAATATTACTAAATTCAGATTGAGTTGTATCTTCATTTATAACACTGGGCTAGGTATTTGCTGAGATTAACCTGCCCGCTTGTGGATCATGCATTCCCTCAGATCTCCTTCTAATCACAGTTACGGGTGATAGATACACCATAGTGTATTTTTCCTTCAGGTGCAGGGGAGCGCCTATTCAGAGATGTTCTGTGAAGAGCCCCGTGTTTTGCCGAGCGGGGCTGGTGACAGCTGTGAGGTGACCTTGCTGAGGCACACTCCCTGCAGGGGACCCAGCTTTCTCGGGGTCTGCAGAAGTTCGCCACAGGAATAGGAAAATAACCCATTTCCGACTGCTGGCTACCACAGCCTCACTGTGCATCTGCGTGTGACGTTAGCGGCACTTATGGAACACTTCGATGCAGTTTTAACTCTCTTCAGCCCGTGCCACGCTTCCCAGAAGCACACGGTGCCTGCTCTGTGGCACACCTTGGGTGGGCTGTGGGCTGTGGGTCCCCCCACCCCCCCACGGCCCCGTTCCCCTTCACACCCGGCCGAACCCCCCCCCACCGCCGGCCGAGGCGGTAGCCCGCGGCGAGCGCCCCCGTCCCGCCCCGCGCATGCGCAGCGTCCCTGTGACGCGCCGCGGCCGCGTCTTCCCCGCCGGGCCCTTAACGACCGAGCGGCAGCGCCGGCAGCCCAGAGGTGCGGCGGGGCGGGACCGGAGCGGGGGGGTCGCACCGCGCCGCGCTGCCCTGCGCCATCGCTACCCCCACACACACAGGGTATCGCCGCCCGCCCGGCGATAGCCCAGCGTCGAGGCAGAGCTTCCCGGCACCGTGGGCTCTCGGTGAGTTGCGCTTCGGGCTACCAACTTCCCTCCCCCCCTTTTATTTTATTTTTTCCTTCCCCAGCCTGGAAGCGGCTGCCCCGTGGTGTCTGGCTGCAATTAACGGGGGGGACCCCTGGGTCAGTTGGCTAGCAGTAAATGCGCTCGTGTTAGTACAATCTATGTTACCAGCATGTGCCTTATACTGATTTTTTTTTTTTTCCTGTCACGAGCACCGACTTAAAAAGTTTCCTCTGAAGATGGTCGCGGCTGTAGTTTAATGCTTCTCCTTTCTGCCCTCAGATACGGCTGATGTGCCTGATACAACACAGATATCTTTAAGCACAAAATAGCAGATTTATGGAGTGGAAGGCTAGGTGTGTTACTGTGTTCACCTAAACTTGGCTACTGACTGGAAAAGATATCCCCCCCCCCCCACTCCCTCTCACCCTCCTCCAGTGTTTTAAGTATTAGTAATAAAACAATACTCCAGTATTATTAGCAGTAAGTACTAGTACTAAGGGAGATACAAAATATCTCCCTTAGTATTTTGGAGATGAATTGAATTTCATAGAATACTGGGATCCTAGAGTCACAGAATATCCTGAGTTGGAAGGGACCCATAAGGATCATCAAGTCCAACTCCTGGCACCACACAGGTCTCCCAAAAGTTTAGACCATGTGGCTAAGTGCACAGTCCAATCGCTTCTTAAATTCAGACAGGCTTGGTGCCATGACTACATCCCTGGGGAGCCTGTTCCAGTGTGCAACCACCCTCTTGGTGAAGAACCTCTTCCTGATGTCCAGCCTAAACTTCCCCTGCCTCAGCTTAACACCATTCCCGCGGGTCCTATTTTATTCCCCTGCCTCTCCACTCCCCCTTGCGAGGAAGTTGTAGACTGCGATGAGGTCCCCCCTCAGCCTCCTCTTCTCCAGGCTGAACAGGCCCAGTGACCTCAGCCACTCCTCATATGTCTTCCCCTCTAGGCCCTTCACCACCTTTGTTGCCCTCCTCTGGACACTCTCCAACAGTTTCATGTCCTTTTTATACTGTGGTGCCCAGAACTGCACACAGTACTCGAGGTGAGGCCAGACCAGCGCAGAGTAGAGCGGGACAATCACCTCCCTTGACGGACTAGCAGTGCCGTGCTTGATGCACCCCAAGATACGGTTGGCCCTCCTGGCTGCCAGGGCACACTGCTGGCTCGTATTCAACTTACTGTCAACCAAAACTCCCAGGTCCCTCTCTGCAGGACTGCTTTCCAGCGTCTCGTCGCCCAGTCTGTATGTATAGCCAGGGTTGCCCCATCCCAGGTGCAGGACCTGGCACTTGCTCTTGTTAAACTTCGTGCTGTTGGTGATCGCCCAGCTCTTCAGTCTGCCCAGATCTCTCTGCAAGGCCTTGCCACACTCGGCAGGGTCAACAACTCCTTTAAGTTTGGTGTCATCAGCAAATTTGCTCAAAACACCTTCTAGTCCTACATCCAAATCATTTATAAAAACATTGAAGAAGACTGGCCCTAAAATGGAGCCTTGAGGGGCCCCACTTGTGACCATCCGCCAGCATGATGTGGCCCCATTTACCACAACCCTTTGAGCCCTGCCTGTCAGCCAGTTGTTATCCTCTTAAGAGAATTGAGACTGTAAGGAATGGAACAGCATATACAGACCAGAAAAGATTTTGTGTTAGAGTTTTTTCTGAAAATTCTGGCAGCAGATATTCTACAAAATGCATATGTTTATTTTTTTTCATCTACAGCATTCAAGCTTAGAGGACTCGCTGTACAGTTCTTTTTGTTGGGTAAGGCTGATTTCAAACTCCAGTTGGTGGTGATTGTTCACATGACACAGTAGCGCTGTTTGGTAACTCTTTGTGAGTGTTGACAAACGATTCTTTCATTATGTTGCTAAGAAAACTAAAGTATGTCTCTGTTACAGGCTTTAATGTTTTTATCGTATGGAAAACAGTAATCTTTGAAGCTCCTCAACTACAGATGTTTATAGTCGAAGGTGATGTTGATTTTTCAGAGTTCATAGACGTAAAAAGCTGCATAATGGATATTAGGAGTTCGTCTTCTACAGTCATTCCTGCAGTCCAGGAAGCTAATTGGTGAGCTTTGCTTCTATATTTTGTGGTTCTGGACTATGGTTCATCTCTTTGTGGCTAATTTTCAAGGTCCCTGAAACTGTGTAATTCAGACTGAGGAAGAACAAGATGTGATTCATCAAAGCCGTGCCATGCTGATCTAGTCCCCATATAAAAAGTGTTGTTTGAAGATACATGTCATGACCATCTGATGTGCTGGAATTCTCACAGGAGAATTCCAAAGACGTGACTTAGATATAGAAGGAGTTCCTGACTGCAGTCAGGAATGCTGACCTGGAGTGACAGAAAGATCTGCATTAGGTGAGGTGGTGGAGGTCAGCTTTAAGTCTTACAGGCAGGTTGTATTTTTTACAACCTGGCATGTTTGATACTTAGCACAATTAAAGTAAGCTTTAGTTAATTCTGTTTATCTTAGCTGTAACAGCTATTTGCCACTATTTAAAGCCTCATTATACTGAGCTGGCAATGATGTAGGCAAGAATAAGAAAATCCATGATTACTAACTTTGGTTAGGCAGTCAGACTGCAGACTGCTCCTTGATGTAGAGGAATTTAGCAAGATTATACTAAAAGTAATATTAAGAAATAATAATAATAAAATAATCACTGGTACAAAGTTTACACTTTCTGCTAGAAATAGAAGAAAAGATAGCAAAAACCTTTTCCTATAATGTTTTGTGTCCACTGTAGCTAGCTGACTTAGGAAGTGAATGTGAATTTAAAGCTTTTGAGTTACAGAAAGGCATTTTGCAGTGTAGAACTCAAAAGCTGTTTCACCTGCCTATGTCTTGAAGAAATTTGAAAAAGTTACTAAAATAGTGCCTTAGATAAAAGCTGTAGCTGGTAAAATAGATGTTTTTGTTCAAAACCTATTACTGATGAACTACAAATGTATGAAAATGGAAATGTTTTCTCTGAGTTTCTATTAGATTGCAAATCACGTGTGAAACTTTCCAGCAATTTTGTGTGGTTTTGTCTTTGATTTAAGCTTCACTGAGCTTTGTACACTAACCCTTTTGCTCTACATATGAACGTGGAAGGAAGAATCTCCTACAATACGTGGCATGAAAATACTGCATGCATTGAATTACTGATTATTAATTATGCAGAGAATTACTATATTTAAAGAAGAAAAATGACACATGCACACTAACCCCACCCCACAGCCAAAAAGTAACATAATCATTGCATAGCCTATTTTTCCTTGAAGACTGCAGAGAGAGGAGAGGGGCAATTTGGATTCTGATTTTCTCCCTAACCTGTGCTTTGCTAACTCTGGCCTTCTTTTAGCTGCCTAAAAATGAGATTGATACTTTTTGTATCATCCCTGAATAATGACATGTGTGTCTTTCATAGGTTTTCTCCAGCCATGGAGAAGAGGGGAGGGGAAAATAAGTCTCTGTGGACACTTAAACACGATGTCCACAAACAAGCTTTTACACAGTTTCTAGAAGCTCCAGCTGTTCAGATCCTTCTTGTTTCCTGCTTAATTTGCCACATCTTCTTACTGCTATAGTTAAGAGTCATATAAAATAGCAGTCCGTGATATTGCTTACTTTGTTATTGATCTTTTGCCCTTTGAGTGATGTTGATTCCTTTGGATATGGCTACCACAGTAACCCCGAAAGCTAGTAATGCACCTATGGTTTTCTCTCACTGCGCACAGGTTAACACATGATCTTTATCTCCTACAATTATTAAACATTAAAATGTGTTAAATACACAGCACCCCATGAAACAAATACTTATGACATACAGTTATATTGGTCTCATAGGTAAAGTCTGCCTTGGTTTTAAATGAAAATAGACTTAACATTTATTTCATCAAAATGCTTTTTGACCTTTTCTAAGAACTAGAATTTCATCCTTCATTACTAGTGATGTCTCACTAAGGGTAACAGTCAAAAATCTATGCTATTGTTCTCGTTTTTGACAATGTTCTTGTCTTTTTTTTTTTTTTTCTGTTACGTGTATCATCACGTAGGGTTCTGAGACATAGCAAATATTAGTTGTGCCTCTGCACAAACCCAAGGGTGAAGAGGGCTTAGAAAAAAAATAATTAAATCCCAGTGGATTCTGTTGTTTTGCAATTAATACTTATGACTCTTAAGACAAAGGTAAGATAATGATTTATCATTTTTAATTCAGTGTGAGATGATAGCACCTTGTTGGCTAATCTGATTATGTTTCTCTTTATGGTATGTTTCCTAGTGATTCTGAAAACTTTTGCTTTTGTATGGAGCAACTAGTTACTCCAGCCAGACTTTTTTATTATATATATAGTAAATATAGTGTAGTGTATATATATATATATATTTACTATACATATTTATTATATATATATATATATAAAACGTGAAGACTTGAGTTTTAATGCTTGAAATAAATTTAAAAATGGCCAACCTGAAGTTACAGTAATTGCACACAAGATTATTAAACTAGCATATTTTAATGAAATGTTGATTTTTGTACTCAATTTCCAGTCTATGTATAAAAACTTGTTTCTATTATTTTAATATTACTTGTGGTTCCTAAGGACCAATCCTGCTGTCAAGTAGTTTTTCTGTTAAATTAAATTCTAATTGAAATGAATATACTAGCTATTTTAGAGGACTAGACCTTTAATAGGTATTATGTTAGTAATCAGTTGCTTATGTGAAATGCAAATGCATGCATCTTTCAAAAATATGTAAAGATTATTTTGATTCCAAATATGTGCATTTGTTACATGATAGGGGTGGTTTTGAGATCATAAGCCATTTTTTTTTTTTATTTTAAAAAAAGAACCCTACTGCAGGAGATAAACAAGAGATGGAATGATGTTCTGAAAGTGTCCTGAAAGATTATTGAATCAATAACAAAGACAATGAGAAACAATAAGAGAACACGTTTTAAAATCAATGTTAGGAAACACAAAACACGGATCTGTTTTCAGTGCCTACAACTACATCCTGTATCCTGAATAACAAGCAATTATATGCAACTCCTTTTTCAAAAAGCAATAGTATGATAACACCTACATGGCATAATTTGTGAATGTTTTGAATTTTTGCCTCACAAACTAATATTGAATTAAGGGACCACTAAAATTTATAAGGAGTATTCATGTATTTTGAAAACATTCATATTTTGCAGCCTAGATAGTGACAAGAATGAGTCACAGTTACTACAAAATAGCGATGAATCAGAATTGGACACTGATGAAGATCTGGCATGGCAACTCTATGAAGCCGAAAAAGAAAAATTAGACATAGCCGTTAAACACCATCAAGAAGTAAGTTTTTTTTTGTTTGGTTTATTTTGCTCTTTTAAGAAATGTAATCTTGTTTCATTAAAGTCATGTTCTTGCATGATGTGTTGAAAGTGCAGTCATTAGCTGAAAACTAATAATAAAGGTGTCACTCTACAGACCTCTCATACCTGTTTTAGTGGCTCTTCTGTCATTGTTAATAAAGTCATTCCAACCTTGGTGCAAATATTCTGCAAGGAAAATTTCTGCCTACCCAGTAGTTTGTTAGATAAAATTGCCTAATGGCACAAAAAGATAGATGCCACAGCTTGAAACTAGCTTGATAAAAATAATGTTCTTTATTCTATTTTTTTTTTTTTCAGAATATTAGGGTAGCATTTTAATTCTTGCTAGCTTTATGGTTGTTTTTCTTTGTGTACATCAAATCTAGCTAGGGTATCCATTGATGGTCTTGCACTGTCTTACCTTGTACAAATTTGCTATTTTGCAGAATTTGTAGCAAAATGTATAAAGTGCAAATGTTGTGGAATATAATCATAAAATGTCCTGAGTTGTAGGAGACCCACCAGGATCATCTAGTCCTGCTCCTGGGTCTCACAGACCACCCAAATATCAGACCCGCTGCATTGGCCAAATGCTTCTGGAACCTTGGCAGGTCCGGGGCCATGACCACTTAATTCCGTGGGGAGCCTCTTCCAGTGGACGTGTTTGTCAAACACTTGGCACTTTTTAATGAAAGCTTCATTCACAGGGAGATTGCTTTACTAGCATTACAAAGATTTTTCCTGATGGTGTTGTAGCAGATTAGTATTGAAATGAAGTGGCAATACCAAGAAAATATTTGATACTCAAATTAAGGTAGATTGAAAATTTTTGCATTTGTATAGATAAGATAAGTTGAGCACTGAGTACAGCGGTAGTTGTAATCAACTGCAGTGGTTTTGATACTAGGAATACTTTGCACACTTACTAATGCCAGTCTGAGGAGTGATGTGCTGCTTTAAACTGTGCTTGTGTGGAAGTATTACTACTATGGATGGCAATTCTGTTCTTAGCAGTTTTCTGGGGGTGATGGATGCAGGTTCTCGATGGTTTTGTTGGGGTTAAATCTAGGCAGGAAACCAAGTTTGCTTTTCCACGTTCATTTATTATTGGGGTGTATACATAGATGAGAGATTTCTGCTTTTCCCACAGTTAACTTGCTCTTGTGCTGCATTCTTCTTCCATTGTCCCATCAACTGTGGTGTTATTCTATAGAAACGGGTACCGGAAGTTATCTGAAGAATAACCTCTTAAATTGAGAATTTGTAAACTGGGTGTGCATAGCAAAATTAATGTGCTGTACCATGTTGCCATTGTTTGTACTGCACAGTCAGATTGCTTTTTAAGTAGATGAACTACTTGAGAGACTGTTTCTTTACAGTCTCTCTGTTTACAGTATAGTTACATATAATGGGAGTGCTCAAGTTACCTACAGCCAGTATCATTCCAGTCAAGAGGCTACTCTGTAGACATTCTGAAGAAATCTGTATTTTACAATGATGGGACTGTGTTTCTTAATCCAGATGAAGTCACTTTTTGAAAGGTTTTCTGTGCTTAATTTGTTGTTTGTTAAATATAACTGTATTCTGTTTTAGTACTGAGAATCTTTATTGAACTAAACTTTATGTTCATACACGTGCTTGTCACTTATTAGAGGTTTGGTAGTCTAGCATCCCAACATGACTGTTCTTCAAAGTGTTAAATTTTAAGAAAATTAATAGAAAATTGCCTGTTGAATAGAATGTTTTGGTAGCTGCAGTTTGGAATTTTGAGGTGAAAGAAGATGACACTATTATGACTTATTTTCTTAAGGTAGAATAGCTTTGAAAAAATGAAGGTGTTTCTTTTAAGTACCTGAACTTGATCTAGGAATATGACCAGTTTGCATATAAAAGAATGACAGTATATTTATGCAGATTTTGTCATTTGCAAGACTAGTTTTTAAGTGTAATAAGAAGGTAGCTGTAATAAGAAGGATGCAACTCAAGATATCTTCTGAAAATACTCTGCAGGCATATTTTTGTAACATACTGCTTATTTAAAGGAGCATTATTGCCAGTTTTCTGAAACAAATTTTATTTTCTAGCTGTCTAACTGTAAAATCCAGATTGTCAAATTACGGTGTGAAGTTGAGAAAGGAGAGGCAGTGCGACAAAGTCTGGAGTATGAATTGGCAGTTGCCAGAAAAGATGCTCATTTGAGAATGTGTGATGCAGAAGAGGAATTAAGTGATGTAAAAACCAGGCTTGTGGAGCTGCAAGGTAAGTTTCAGAAGAGCAAATGCTGATAAGCGGTGAAATCTGTTCCAGGTCGGGCAGACAGATGAGGTGCAGGAACTTGATTAAATTTTCTACTTATTGCTGTTTTTCTTTAATCTCTCTTACCTATCTGTTTTTGTAAGCCGGTATGCTTGTTGGTTCCTGTGTGAATTAAAACTAACCTACTAAGCCTATCATCCCTTTTTATTTTTTCTCCTTGTCTTCCATTTCTTTTGCTGCTGTCCTTGTACAGAATTTTAATCATGGTTAACCCATGTCTAACCTGTCCTGGTTGTTGCAATGTCCAGCAGTTCTGAATTTCCATTTTGGGAAAAAAAAAAAATCCACTCCATTTCATTTGTTTGCGCTATTTCCAACAACTTTTTTCCAGCACTTCTCATCATGCAGCTTCTGTCTTTCATCTCTTCAAAGGCTCCAAGTATTTAATTATTCATGTCTAGTTCCTATTCTTCTCATCCTCCTCGTTTCTCTTTTTATAGGTAATAGAACGTGTATGTTGTGGAGTAATTCTATTCTGCAGAAGGGGGTATGACATTAGTATGTGGAGGGGAAGGTTTTTACCTAGACATTTTTTCCTACCAGAGTTATATTCAGAAATTCAGATTTCCTTGATCCTCCTCAACAGATTATGTGAAATTTCTCATTCTTACAAGTTAGTGAGGTCCATCTTTAATTAACTAAGTGAGAATAGAATCCTAGAATCATAGAATATCCCGAGTTCAAAGGGACTCATAAGGATCATTGAGTCCAACTCCAGCCTCCACACAGGTCTACCCAAAATTTCAGACCATGTGACTAAGTGCACAGTCCAATCGCTTCTTAAATTCAGACAGGCTTGGTGCCATGACTACATCCCTGGGGAGCCTGTTCCAGTGTGCGACAACCATCTCGGTGAAGAACCTCTTTCTGATGTCCAGCCTAAACCTCCCCTGCCTCAGCTTAACACTGTTCCCGTGGGTCCTATTGTTGGTCACTAAAGAGAATAGATCAGCGCCTTCCCCTCCACTCCCCCTTGTGAGGAAGCTGTACGCTGTGATGAGGTCTTCCCTCAGCCTCCTCTTTTCCAGGCTGAACAGGCCCAGTGACCTCAGCCACTCCTCATATATCTTCTCCTCTAGGGCCTCTGCCATCGTCGTAGCTCGTCTCTGGACACTCTCCAATAGTTTCACGTCCTTTCTGTACTGTGGTGCCCAGAACTGCGCACAGTACTTGAGGTGAGGCAATATAATATTACACCTTTTTAACCTAGTACATGAGGTACTTGCCGAGGCGATCGGCTCCGGGGTAGACATGTTCTGCAGCGGAGCGGGGAACTGGGACAGGCAGGGCTTTTTTCCGGCATCGAGGCCACTTGGGGCAGGTGTGGGAGCCGCCAGGGCTCGGCAGCCCTCGAGAGGGAGGTGAACGAGTCATAGGTGGAGCTGGCAGTGCCCCCTCCCCAGCCATTCAAAAGCAACCCCTAGGGGTGGGCAAACAGGGTGGGGCGCGGCAGTTTGCGCTCAGACAGGGCAGAGCGATCCCCCCGCCCATCAGAACAACTCATCTAATGGCCGTCTTCCACTAGCTAGGCTGCAGTGGTCTACACCAAGCACAGTGCTCTCCCTAGAAAGTCAGTAACCACCCAGACTGACTGCCCGCTCAAAAATGCAGCAGTTTGAGCTCTGGATGCACGGAGTGCCTGAGCCCGTTGCCGCCCTCTGAGGGCAGCAGAGACACCATGTGTGTGAGGTGCGAGCAGGTGGGTGACCTGGTCGGCCTGGTGGCAGAGCTCAGGGAGGAGGTGGAGAGGCTGAGGGCCATCAGGGAGTGTGAGCAGGAGATAGACTGGTGGAGCAACTCCCTTCAGGGCCTGAAGGAGGGGTACCAGGGTGAGACACCCCAAATGGGGTGGACCCCCTGCCCTGTCACAGCTGGGCAGAGAGAGGGGACCTGGGAGTTGGGGAGAAACGGAGACAGGTCCTTGCTCGACCTTACAGGCAACTCCCCTTCCTACCGGCCCTACCAGCCCCATCTTCCCAGGTGCCCTTACACAACAGGTTTGAGGCCCTGGAGCTTGAGAGACTGGTGGGTGAGGAAGAGGTAGAAAGTCTACCCAGGAGGATGCCTAGGGCGAGGAAGTCAACTCCACGCCTCAAGACTGCCACCACCAAGACAGAAAGAAGGGTGATTGTTGTAGGCGACTCCCTTCTCAGGGGAACAGAGGGCCATATTTGTCAGCCTGACCCTACCCGTAGGGAAGTCTGCTGCCTCCCTGGGGCCAGGGTCAGGGATGTTGCCAGAAAGCTTCTCAACCTGGTTTGCCCCTCTGATTACTATCCTCTTTTGATAGTCCAGGCTGGCAGTGACAATATTAAAGAGAAAAGCCTGAAGGCCATCAAATGAGACTTTAGGGGACTGGGACGGTTAGTGGATGGAGCGGGAGTACAGGTGGTGTTTTCGTCCATCCCTACGGTGGCAGAGAGGGGTACAGAGAGGACACGGAAAGCCCACCTGATCACACGTGGGCTTAGAGGCTGGTGCCAACAGAAATTTTTTTTTTTTGACAATGGGGCACTTTACTTGGCACCCGGCCTGATGGCCGCAGACGGGTCCCTATCTCTAAGGGGAAAACAGATCCTAGGCCAGGAGCTGGCGGGGCTCATTGAGAGGGCTTTAAACTAGGTAAGAAGTGGGATGGGGCTGAAATAAGGCTTGTTGGAAGTGTGCCAGGGGGCACAATGACAAGGCTGGGGTAGAAGGCAATGGCCCAACTGAAGTGCATCTACACCAATGCATGCAGCATGGGTAACAAACAGGAGGAGCTGGAAGCCATCGGCAGGCTACGACTTGGTTGCCATCACGGAAATGTGGTGGGACCACTCCCATGACTGGAGTGCTGCAGTGACAGGCTATAGGCTCTTCAGAAGGGACAGGCAGCACAGAAGGGGTGGTGGTGTGGCTCTCTATATCAGAGAGAGTGTTGATGTCGTGGAACTTGAGGCTGGGAATGATAAGGTTGAGTCCCTGTGGGTTAGGATCGGCGAGAAGGCCAACAAGGTAAGCATCCTGGTGGGGGTCTGTTATAGACCGCCGAACCAGGATGAGGAGACTGATGAGGAGTTCTACAGGCAGCTGGCAGAAGTTGTGAAATCGTCAGCACTTGTTCTTGTGGGGGACTTCAACTTCCCAGATATATCCTGGAAGCACAAAACAGCCCAGAGAAGGCAGTCTAGGAAGTTTCTGGAAAGCATGGAAGATAGCTTCCTGACGCAGCTGGTTATTGAGCCTACCAGGGGAGGTGCCCCGCTAGACCTTCTGTTCACAAACAGAGAAGGACTGGTGGAGGATGTGGTGGTTGGAAACTGTCTTGGGCAGAATGACTGTGAAATGGTAGCGTTCTCTATTTTTGGCGAAGTCAGGAGTGGGATCAATAAAACCATTGTACTGGACTTCTGGAGGGCCAACTTTGAGCTGCTCAGGACACTGGTTGGCAGAGTCCCTTGGGAGGCGGTTCTGAAGGGCAGAGGAGTCCAGGAAGGCTTGGCGCTCTTCAAGAAGGAAATCTTAATGGCTGAGGAGCGGTCTGTCCCCACGTGCCCAAAGACGAGCTGGTGCAGAAGAAGACCGGCCTGGCTGAACAGAGAGTTGTGGCTAGAGCTTAGGAGAAAAAAGAGGGTTTACAATCTTTGGAAAAGAGGGTGGGCCCTGCCTGGCCTGATCCCCCGCTCCGCTGCAGAGTGCATCTGCCCCAGAGCCGATCGCCTCGGCAAGTGGCGGTGAAATGGCGGTGGCGCCCGATTTAAATAGCCCGCCGCTGGCACTGCTGACTCTGCCTACTCCTCGTCAGCCTCCCTCACGAGGGCTGCCAGGTCCTGGCGGCTCCCTCAAGTAGGCTTGATGCCGGAAAAATTAGGAAAAATTAGAAAGGCCAAAGCTCATCTGCAGCTCAATCTGGCTACTGCCATTAAAGACAACAAAAAATGTTTTTATAAATACATCAACACAAAAAGGAAGACTAAGGAGAATCTCCATCCTTCACTGGATGTGCGGGGAAACTTAGTTATAAGAGATGAGGAAAAGGCTGAGGTGCTTAATCCCTTCTTTGCCTCAGTTTTTAGCAGCAAAACCAGTTGTTCTCTGGATACTCAGTACCCTGAGCTGGTGGAAGCGGATGGGGAGCAGGGTGTGGCCCTCATAATCCACGAGGAAATGGTTGGTGACCTGCTATGGCACTTGGATGTACGCAAGTCGATGGGGCCAGATGGGATCCACCCAAGGGTACTGAGAGAACTTGTGGAGGAGCTGGCCAAGCCTCTTTCCATCATTTATCGGTAGTCCTGGCTATTAGGGGAGGTCGAAACTGGTGGCTAGCAAACGTGACGCCCATCTACAGGAAAGGCCAGAGGGTAGACCTGGGGAACTACAGGCCTGTCAGTTTGACCTCAGTGCCAGGGAAGCTCATGGAGCAGATTCTCTTGAGAGTCATCATGCAGCACTTGCAGGGCAAGCAGGCGATCAGGCCCAGTCAGCATGGGTTTATGAAAGGCAGGTCCTGCTTGATGAACCTGCTCTCCTTCTATGACAAAGTGACGCGCTGGGTGGACGAGGGAAAGGCTGTGGATGTGGTCTACCTTGACTTCAGCAAGGCTTTTGACACCGTTTCCCAGAGCATTCTCCTCAAGAAACCGTCTGCTCATGGCTTGGACTGGTGTATGCTTCGTTGGGTTAGAAACTGGCTGGATAGTTGGGCCCAAAGAGCTGTGGTGAATGGAGTCACATCCAGCTGGAGGCCGGTCACTAGTGGCATCCCTCAGGACTCAGTGCTGGGGCCAGTCCTCTTTAATATCTTTATCGATGATTTGGATGAGGGGATCGAGTGCACCCTCAGTTAGTTCACAGATTACACCAAGTTAGGTGCGTGTGTCGATCTGCTTGAGGGTAGGAAGGCTCTGCAGGAGGATCTGGATAGGCTGCACCAATGGGCTGAGGTCAACTGTATGAAG